TCTAACACATTCACCTTAACAAAGTAGTCATAAACAGAATTTATGGGGGAATAGCTTATTTGCTGCATTTTCTGTCAGTACAGCTGCCAGAGATTTGATAGTAAACTAGGAGGATTTTTTTTTTCCAGCTCCTACTGCAGTATAAGCATAATTTTATTACGAACCTGTGAGGGTGAATTGCAGTTTTTGTTATAAAAATACAGCAATTATATAGTTTTGAAAATAAATTCATAATTCAGCAAGTATTTTTATAATACGGTTCCCGGAGGAAGGAGCACAGGCTTTTAGATGCAAGTCCCATTTCTTGTTGGAGATCTTGAAATTGACTTTCACACTCAGGCTTTTCATAGCGGTTCTCAGACACTCATTACTCTCTCTCTCTCTCTCTCTTACTCCTGCTCCCTTGAGTCATCTCTTCATACATGCTCTCTTCTGCCAGTGATTGAAGTTTGTCTTAAGAAGGCTGATATATCGTCAATACTAACTTTGATGTTCCAGGGTAAGGATTTTGTGTAGCAAGCACCAGAGGGAGGACTTAGATGTGGTATTTGTGATTTTATTGTAGTAAAATGCATAGTTGGCTCTCTGTAAACAAAAGTTTCTCTCTGGTGAATAGAGAGAGCATCAGAACTATTAATTCACTCAGTGCAATGAATTCACGTATTGACTTCTTCAAGTAGTTGGACACCTTCCATTTGATAGAGGGCGATGATAGGACTACAGTGAAGATCCTTGTATCTCAAAGTAAATATCCCTGTACAAAGGACCATTTTAGCTGAGTTTTCTTCCTGCAGAGCCGTTATGGTATATGAAGGAGTAGGAATGGACCATCAAAGTCAAGGCTTTGTTTTTGTGATTTTTAGACTGATGCTTTTGTAGCTCTTGCTTTGACAGAGAATAATCAGAAAAGCAGAGAAGCAGAAAACGGAACCTGAAGAAAATGGTTACCTAGCCCAATTTTCAGTATTACTGTTTTCTAACTCCTAGTCAACGATTTTATGATGTAATTAATGAGATGAAAATACGAGAATACGAAAGATGACTTAAATGATTCAAAGTACTTTTATATAGCTCAGATGAGTCTGACGTAGGCTTTGCTTTTTAAAAGGAAGTTGTGGATGATCAAGTATAATAGATGGTTATCGCAGAAATTTATATAGTGAAGTAAACTTGCAATGTGTGTGCACGAACAATAGACACAAAACATTTAGCTATCGAAAGATGCTGTTTTTAATCCCTCTGGCTTTGCTTTTTTTTTTTTTTTTTTGTACTAACTATATGGAATGAGGTGTATTTTAGTCTCTGCCTTTAGGATGCTTTGTCCTGACTGACCTAAAAGAGAATGAAACATACAATTCTGTGAGTTGCTACAGGAGATTTTCTTTCTGCTAGGCAGTAAATAGGCTAGGATTCACAAGTCCTGTTCTTGCCAACGTAAATGTTGTGTTCAGTATAGGTTTAGTTGGGTGAAATTCTCTGACCAGTGTAAGATAAAGTCGTTTCATATATGCTTTAACTAGTGAGTGCAGTATCTATGTATATGTATGTGCCTAGCATTATTTTAGTTGGATCATGTAAGTTCTACATCTTATTTATAGGCAGAGAAGAAAGTGTAGTTACAGTTATCACACAGTCACTAAGTTTGGAAGGGACCTCTGGAGACCATCTAGTCCAACTCCCGTGCTCAAAGCAGGCTCAGCTAGAGCAGGTGGCCCAGGACTGCATCAAATCCGGTTTTGCCCGTCTCCAAGGATGGAGAGACCACAGCCTCTCTGGGCAACCTGTTCCAGCGTTTGAACAACCTTAACAGCAGAAAATCTCTTTCTTACCTTTAAATAGAATTTCTCGTATTTCAGTTTTTGTTCTGCTCTTGTCCTGGCAGCGGACCCCGCTGAGAAGTTGTTTGCCTCCGTCGTCTTTACTCCCCCTCCAGCCCTCCACCCCACCCCACCCCATTCCATGATAAGCTCCACACACTGATAAGCTCCAGCCTGAGCCTTCTCTCCTCCAGGCTGCCCTTCTCTCCTCCAGGCTGAACAGGCCCAGCTCTCGCAGCTTCTCCTCAGATCGGAGGTGCTCCAGACCCTTCATCATCTTCGTGCCCCTTCGCCGGACTTGCTCCAGGAGCTCCACGTCTCTCTTGTACCGGGGAGCCCAGAACTGGGCCCAGCACTCCAGGTGTGGCCTCAGCAGGGCTGAGCAGAGGGGCAGGATCACCTCCCTCCACCTGCTGGCAATGCCCTTCCTAATCCAGCCGGGCATACCACTAGCCGCCTTTGCCACAAGGGCACGCTGCTGGCTCATGCCCAGCTTGCTGTCCACCAGGACCCCCAGGTCCTTTTCTGCCAAGCTGCTTCCCAGCCAGTCAGCCCCCAGCCTTTACTGGTGCATGGATTGCAGCATGCAGACTCAGAGCTAGCACAGTGGGCACGTGGGGTCCCACGTGCTTATTACTGAAAGGGAAGCTGCAGGATCCCAATCTACATAGGTAGCAAGTACAGTTCACTCCTGAAGGTGTGTGGCACCTAATCACTACTGAGGGACTTGAGTTGGTACATGGATTGTTCCTCCCCAGAGGCAGGACTTTGGCAGTTCACTTTGGACGTCGTGAGAAGTAAGGCAAGATTACGGGTTTACAATTCGGCTTCCCCAGTGAGTTTAAATTAGCAGATGACCGAAGTAGTGGATGCTGAAAACAATTTGCTTTTCCCACAATAATTTGAAAAATATGAAAATAAATAAATTCTGTCTACAGATCAGCTGAGAAATTCTCGAAAATACATGGGAAAAACATTCAGGTCAGGGAGGTGAGTCACTGATAATGTCGACAACATTGTTGTCAGCGTTGAAGACGCGATCAATATTGACAGTGTTGATAATCTGAGGACTTTTGTTCAGTATTCATTTTAACATTTTTATTATAAATTAGCATTTTGACCTGAAATAGTATCATATGAAAGTACTAAAAGGGAACTTCCTGATATGTGATATCAGAATATCTGATATGGCGGTCATCAGAATGATTTTTTTTCTCTGAGCTTTTTCTCAGGGGAACTCCCTCCATCCCCTTCCCCCCTTACCCACTGCCAAATTTCAGAAGTGGAATAAAGCATTATTCACAACATTAAATATCGTCTCTAGTACTCAGTTATTCTTATTTGTGGGCTGTATTTGGTGTGTTAACTGGTAAAGGAATTACAGTATAGTCAGAAACTACACGGGGAATAAAAATATTTCAATACGTACGTTGCTAACACTTCAATTTCTTATTTGGAGTCCTTGTAGATTTTTTGTTGGCTCTGCGGCTAAGCTTCTCATGCTTGCTTTCTGCTGTGTACTTGGTCAGTAAGACTCTGTAAGTGAATGTCAGTGAATGTCTACAATAAGCAGGGATTAATAGAAAAAAGTACAGAAATTTGAAGATGTACACTGGCATTGGAAAGAAATCATCATTGTTAGAAGAGCAGGTGGGAAGCAAAGCAGAGACGGTTTAGGGGCTGGCTACCAGGACCATTTTGAAACTTCTGCCTCTCTTTGTGAGTTTAAGAGAAAAGGAAATCAGTGATGTTTGTGTCACTTAACATTTAGCTTATCTTAGGAGCTTTGCAACTCTAAATCATTGCATGTTTTGCAATATATAGTAACTTTCTCTGAAATGGCATGAAATAGCAATTTTCTCTGAAAAGCCATGAACCAAACTTTCAATACTGTTCCTCTTTAAAAAAAAAAAAAAAAAAACTGAAAAGAAAAAGAAAAAGTTATTTTTGCCATTTTCTTACTTTCTGAAGAGCTTAGTAAAAGAGACGGTGGGACTGTTGAGTTTAAAAAGAGAATATTGATGGGGCAGTGTGAATAGCATTAGATTCCTAACATTAAAGGAAATCACATGCATCTCTGTTCTCCTCGTGTGTCCGTTCTGTGCTCTGTCACAGCAGTTGCATTTCAGGAGATGAGTGCTCAAGTTAGCAGTCCATGGTTCTGATGACGAGGTGTTGACAGGTGCCCGCTGGGTTCAGTTGATTCATCTCTTGGGATATACACTGTTGTTCATCCTGGAGTAACAAAATCTGTGCATCAGGCCTTTCTTGGTACTAGGGAGAATCAGGAAGACAGTCACTAAGATTGTTATTTGTGGAACGTTTTCGAGAAGTACTGTCCTTTATATAATGTAGAAGTCAGAATTAGCCTCATCAGATTTGAACTACCAGAATAAAAGTGGTTCCAAGTCCACAGAAGGTAGCAATTATCAAAACGGCTGAGGACTGTGCAACATATTTAAAAGTTAAAGGAGACTTTTAAGAGCCCACTTGGCAAAGAAGAGCCTGTGTTTCTGTTTTGGTATCTTTGTCGTTTCATTTCCTTTTTTCTTTGTATTCAACATTTTTATCTAAAGCATATTTAATCAGTTTTTCATTGCAGAAAGAGAATAATAAAGAAATGGTTCTGTTTTCAGGAGCAGTGTGGTTGGTATCTGATGATGCAGTCTAGGAGCATGTTGAATAACTTCATTCCGTTAGAATTATCACAAGGAAAAGACAAAAAGTGTTTTAGGTACAAGTAGGGGAATTGTTTATTGAGACACTTAGCAAAGGTGTCCTTAATCTGGACAGAAAAATCAAAAAGCCTCTCCACTGCATGCAGTACTCGGAGAAGGAGTTGCTTTATGAAGCAGCTGTCTTTCTATTCTGTCATAGCATCCAATTTTTATTGTATTTTTATTTGAAGCTGTTTAACTTTGGTTTTTTTTGTAACCACCCGTGAAACCGGACGTCAGAAGTAGCGGTGCACGCTCTCTTCAGCTGGTATGTGTTTCCTGTTGGTGTCGTCTTTTCTTCTACTACACGCTCTCTCCTTCTTGTCCCAGTATTTTTTTTCAGGGAAAAAGAAATGTGAATAGTAAAGTTCAGGCTCGGGATTTTGCCTTTCAAATGGAAGAATATCATCTAAAGTGTATAACCCTTATCTAAAACGTATAACCCTTGTGTTTGTAATTACTGCAGTGCTGCCTATGATGCCATCCTTGACAGAAATGTGGCCATTAAGAAGCTCAGCAGACCGTTTCAGAACCAAACTCATGCCAAGCGAGCTTACAGAGAGCTGGTCCTCATGAAATGTGTGAATCATAAAAACGTAAGTTTTCTGTCGGGAACCATAGTAGTGGTATGTATTTTGTTAGGAGGAAAACTTCTATGTTGGATGCCTCTTTTAAAAAAAAAAAAAAAAAAAAAAAAA